GATAAACAAACTATAACTATTCACACCCTATATATATATATATATATATAATATAAAAAGGAAACTATTTATGGGAAAAACCAAAAGTCTTCAACAAGACACATCTTTTGGTATAATTTAATGCGATATTTCTGAATAAAGAACAATTATCCTAAGATAAAATATTTTTTATACATAGGTATTTATTGACAACACAATAGTTATTATTCATTTTGATCGATAGTTTTGTAGGGAATGTACTATCGACAATGCCAACCGTCACCTATCAAAAAGTATTTCAAGATTGAAACAAGTTAGCATGTCTTATATACTAGTGAATTGATGTTTAATAATCATAGTGGTAGTTACGCCACAGTCTTAAGTAATAATTTAAGTAGTGTTAAAATATTCGCTATACGCTTCGTATTTGTTTATATTCATTTTGCCTTTTTATACAAATAAACACTTTTTAGGCGGAGTAATTATTCAGTTTAATTTTTTATATCCTTTTTAAAATGGTTGTAGATATTTTAAACATAAACAGTGTTATGGTGCCGCACACTGTCATTTCAATTATTGATGACGAAGCTTGAATTTTTCCAGTAATATCATATAGATGTAATACGATATTCAAGTTATGGATCGAGAGGTGCGTCAGGAAATAGTACTGCTCGTAATGGAGCATTGGATGATTTTTTTCTATCTCATCTCAGAGACGGAAATAATTTTAATAGTTCTGTTGCCCACAATGCCACATTTTCTGATTTTATTCTTATGGTGGTTTGTGAGATTTAATGGCTTTTAATTATTACTAAATTTCAACGCAGAAAGAACTTTGACGGTATCACAGACCTCTCTCGAATATAGTTAAAATTGTAATCAAAGTACTTCGCATTTGGTTTATATATTGTTTAAAACTAATTAACGTGTTTGGATTGAAAGAGAGGTCCAAGAATTAGTTTTCATTTCTTTTTTTGTTTCGCAAAAAAAAATACTTCAAACTTTTTGAAATGCGGCGTTTTGCATTAAAAATTTGCATTGATACAGTAATTAAGATATACTTTTATAGAGCAGCATTTACGATGATGATGAGCGGAAATATGTGTTCAGTATATGATAGATAATAAATAAGTTAAAATTATCGAAATTAATAAAATTTAAAAGAAAACACGTTTTCTAAAGCACTTCTTTTTTCAAGTTGCCTTGAAAGCGGGAATATGTATATTTTTTAGTTTCTGAAAAAAAAACTTTAGGTGCATAACTTTAGAAAATCCTGGGAGCAATTTTATGTAGTGATAGAAGTTTGTGACAAAAGTTGTCCAGTTTTGATTTTTAGGTTTGACAATGGAGGAAAAAATTCTAGCATTTTTTTCCTTATTTCATTAATTTCTTCTTTTTTATTAGTGTCTTATAAAGTTTTCTTGTAGTAAAGTAATTGAATTTTTATTTCGTGGTCAAATGTTTCTACTTCTGTCAGTAAACATTTGAAATTAGTATAATAATACGGTGCAGAT